TCGGGAGAGGTTCCACCCACTACTATCAACACTCAGCTAACACAGCCCACATATGCAGGGTCAAATCTCCAAAATAAGCTCTAATCAGGCATGTGAAGAAAATTCCTACCAGCAGAGACTGAAATACCACAAAACTACCTTACAGAGTGTCATATTTATTATAGCTGAACAGAAAATCAGGGTACAATAAAATTACCCTTTGACTTGTCTCTAATCAGAAAATATCTCACTCCACATCTGAAAAGAACAAAATGATGCTCGCATTAAAAATAGAAACCATTAATTGTCACTACACACTTAAAATGGCCACATCTGGAGTAAGAAGTTCCCTAACACTATTTAATGACCAGAAGTCGGGGGGAGAAAACATCTCTTTGCAGAACTGGAGCTGGAGTGGATAACCTTGTGATCTAATGAATCTTCCTTTTCTCCTTTTCTATAAATCAAAGTCAGCCCACTTTGATTGGATTCTTTCAGAGCTGTCTTTCACACTAGTAGTGTATATTCTCCCCTCTCAATTGTTTAAAATTTAATTCTTATGCCTTTTCTTTCCCTTTGTCAGTTCCCAGTCTTATTCCTCAGAAGAGCCATGTACTAACTCACAAGTTTAATATCAATCCACCACATATGTTAAACAAAAATTAGGCAAAGGTAAAAATAATATCTTTCAACACTACTAATGTGTTTTTAATGAAATTTCGTACAACCACTCATGGGCTTTGTCCATGAGGTAGCTTACATATAACCTTTGTTCACCACCTGCTATCTCATGGAAGCCAAGTTCAAATACATGCATGAATGAACTCCTTCACCAAAACAATTTTTATTTCAGAAAGATCTTGTCAGCTTTTCATGTACTGTAGAAACTGGAGCAATCCTAGAGATTCTACTTATTTATTCCAATCTCTTTTTGTCTAAAGTTCATACATTCTGATTTGTGTCATGGTCAAAAGAACACTCTACATATCCGACATTAATTTCAAAATAAATTCATCCATGTTTGAACCTCTCTAGGAACCAACTGTGGTATCATCATATTTCACCCTAGGAATGAGGATGTCCTTTTTTTAACCCAGGGGTCCTTACCCTCAGGTCTGTGGCATCACACGAGTTGTAAAATCACTGAAATTATATGCAATATTTTGCATGTGTCTGTGTGCCTGCTTGTGTTATTTTTCTAGGGAAAGGGCATATTAGCCTTCTTATGAATGTGAAAGCATCACGGCCCTCAGAAGCTGATGCTCTGTGCCATGTCTTCATCACTCAAAAACTCCCACAGTGCACTAGATTGACTGACACTAAGCAAATGTCATGACTTTTGTCAAATTCATGTGTGATAGTTACTGTAGAATGCATTGCATTTAGATATCTAAATTTAAAATATCTAAAATTGCAATAGCATTGTATTTTAATTAGGTTACTTTGGAGACTGAGATTTTGAGAATCCTTCCCTAATCTTTTTTGTTCTCTAGTACCTATTTTTGCAAAATCTCATATACATTGATATTTAAGGAAAATGTGTATCACATCATTGGATAAATTGGACAAAATTAGTATTTTGTACTAAATCCAGGCTACTATTTTAACTTTTGTTTTATTAAAGGTGTAAGCACTTAAAAACACTTAATAAATTCACTATGTTTACTGTCTACAGATTCAGATAAGTATCTGAGGAAGTATACAGAGAAAGTGAAGAGATATTAGTTTCCTTAACAGCTAATTAAAGTATGTTAGTATGTATTATACAATTCACCTTAAAGCCATTTTTAATAGATTTTATTGATAGAATTATATAGTGATTCTAAAGTAATTAGAATACAACCAGTTGAATCTCTATTAATATTGCACTGGTAGAGGTGAAAATGTATCTATAAAGAAAAATAGAATTGGACTTTTGTTGTTGAAAATTATGTTTCTGATCCCATCACAGACTTGAAAAAAAAAAGAGAGAACACCATTTTGTTTTGTTTTTCTAAAACTATATAGAATCAATATTTAGCTGTGTTTCCTGGTAACATTTAATCTATTTAGAACAACTTGAAACAATGATATTAACCCAGACTCTATGTTCTTATGCCTCTAATAAGTTCAATTATCAAATTATAGCAAGAAATAGTATGTTAAATGTAATTAATAGAAAATAGGATTTAAAAAAAATCAAGCGTTTACCAAATGAATTAATAATTTATTAACAAGAGGGCAATCTATCTATATCCATTAATATTAAAAGTACAATAGAGACTTGCCTAATATTTTCTGAAAACATCAATTTTTTTTCTCATGCACACAGAAAAACTACAAGTATTTGTTTAATTAAATGATTAACATTTCATTTTCGAGCTCTACACCCCTAAGAAAGGGATGTTTACTTTGGGAGCATTTAAAACATCAGAGAAATCAATGAACTATTTCTAAATAATATAATGAGATAGTAAAATAGTAAAATGTGAGCACTATGCACAAGATATTAATCTAAGTGTGTACGTTCATTCAATCTCACAAGAACATTGTTTTGGTATTACGTTGCTCTATCTAACCAAAGAGGAAACTGAACCAAACAGATATAAAATAAGCAAATGTATAAACTCACAGCTAGTAAGAGGTAGAGACAGATGTGAAATCCAATTTAACACTAGGACTTGTGCTTTTAATTCCTACTCTTTGCTGCCTCTCTTCTGCTTTATTAAATCAAACTTTGTCTTAATAAAATCACAGATTGTGAAATTTTAAAAATTCTCTTGTAAACTGATGTTTGTTTCTTTAAACATTTACTAAATAAAAGGTACTTAGGATTTTTCTCAGAAAACCAAACTTTTTTTTTCCAGCTGCAACTCATCCAACAGAATTATTATATATCAGGTAGCTCTACAGATTTTTTAAAGTGAAAATATGTATTGATGGAGGACTAGACTTGGAAGTACTAGATCTCAGAGATTTCTTTGAGAATGTGAGAAAGTCATTATTTGCTGGCTCTCCAGTATTTTATTTTGAATTTGTTAAATTCATTGACGTGTGAACTGGTTATCAAAGCTTGATAAAGAGTTTATAAATCATTTTGAAGTTGGTAGAAGTAAATATTAATGGGTCAATTTTAAAGGAATTTAAAGTCAGTTTCTTCTTCTGTTCCCATAAGTAAAAAAGAAAATTCAGTTCTTTTATTTAGAAAAGAATCCATAATTTATTAGTAATAATTGATATTTCTCAAAATAGTCATAGGACTATTTATTATATAATATCAGACTATTTATTTTAGAAAGAGCACCCTTGGAAAACACACCAGGGTGTTTTATATGATAAAAGTTTTATATGAAACTTCCTTAGGAAACATAAACCTGATTCTAACACTTGGAGATACTAAAGTGACCTTCTTCACCAAGGTTGTTTGGAGCCTGCCATAGAATAAGGAGAGAAAAGAAAAAGATTATCAGGTACCAACTGTCTACCAGTGTCAGAGTCTGACCAACACTGTCCCGTTTAAGTTATTCCCCACTTCCTTTTCACATAGGATAAACAAGCTTAAAGGGTTTTAGAAGCTGACCAGGCCACATGACTAATGGGTAGCAGACCCAGGATTTGAAAGCTTGCCTGTCTACTGCAAACTTCTATCTTAGTTTTTGAAATAGGAAACCCAGATTTTCTACATGCTTATTTTTCAAGGAAATACTTGAAACCACAGCAGTCATTGGTACCTCCTTTTGAGACGGTTTATAGTGTCCCTTCCAGAGGTTCTGGGCCATGTTCAATTTTCATAAAAGGATGTGAGAAGACAAAAAGACCAGGCTGTTGCATCAAACAGAGAACCTGGTTCATTGCATAGGGATACCCAGCTGAATGAAACAGAGAGTAGGAGTTAAACTTCAGCACACACTTTACCCTAAGATGCTGTGCTGAATCCACCTAGAAAGAATGCCGTTTTCAATTTGCAGAAAATAACATAAAGGCTCACATGGGACCTGGAAAGTCCCCAAAAGGTAAGAAGAGAAGGGGAAAACATGTTTGAATATAAAGCTTTTCAGATTCTATCAGTCATTAATTAAAGGAATGGACATATAAAGCAAATTGATGAGAATGTTTACTAATTTGGGAAATCAATGCCAGCATAGGGAAATGTATTTTGTTGGCACTGGAGAGTATAATTTTACTTCAGGGGGAAATGTTTAGTAGAATCATCCACAGGATATCCTATTTCACTCTGGGATATGAGAACTAAGAGATCTAGTGAATATTTAGAAAAATGGTTCTATGTAAGGTGGGAGAAATAGAAAACTCTCATATGTTTTGATTTGATTACTGTGTTTTAAAAGCTTTTTAGTCTGCTGGGAATAAAATATCAAGATCGCGTATATATTACATTTAAAAAAATCATCACACCATCACTGTGACAGATGTTGGAGCATCTCTGAAGAAACTCTTTTGAACACTAAGCTATCAAGTCTTAACTTCAGGGATATATAACTGGCATTTTCCATTTTAAAGCCATTTAGAAATTCTAACAATAACTATGCATTTTTGGAGTACCAGGTACCATACTAAGTAGTTTGCATGCATAATGCCTACATTCCCAATAAAGAATACTCAAATGTTGTATGTTACTATTTCCTTTTTATCACTAAGGAAATTGAAGTGCAAAGAGGCCAAGGGGACTTACCTAATTTCATTTAGCTAATTACTGGTAGATTAAAGATTCAAATCTATGTTGTTCCTGATTTTAAACCTGAGCTCTTGCCATGTCGCAGAACTCACCCTTTCAGCAGACTTCCGCTTAGGGGAGAATGTGGTGTTTAAGCCAAGGAGAATTTTATTCTAAGATGTAAAAAATACAATACCTTGAATTGAATATATCAACTGATACATTCTCCTATTATTTCCTAAAGCATAAATTTGCTAAGCTGTCATAATTTTAAAGTGCATATGATATATTAATAATCAAGTTTATATATATACACACACACACATTGAATTATAAGAAATCAGACTGGAGATATGGAATTCCTACTTACCTGTTCCAATAATTTTTGTCCATTGAGGTGAGCCTGTATCACAGCATCACTCACAAGCAAGTGAAAGTTCAGAAGCACGTGTTCAATGTCGTATGTTCCATGCATTGCATCTGACAGTTCTTCCAGTGACCGGATATATCCATGCCAGTGTGGGTTAAGCTCCACCATGTGTGCCAGGCATCCTCGCATGACGTTGAGGCAGTAACCCATACAAGGCTTACTGAGAGTCAGACCCTGGCAGTGTGGGCAGTACTGCATCTTCAGAAAGGCTCTGCTGCACTCTTTGGAGAAGTGCAGATAGTCTGTGGTGTTGATGACTTCAATGCCCAGATTGAGGGCCTGCAGAAAGGTGCGGCTGGGCAGCAGGGACCTCCCCATCTGTCCCATTACTCTTTTGGGAATATTACCAAATGGACTTACATCCCGACGAGCCATCCGGATGCATTCTGAGTATTCCAGGGAGCTGTCAGTCACACCAGGGTTAATGAGGTGGTTGTAGACCAGAGGAAAAAGACTGTCAAAAAATCTGTTTATGAATTCTTCAGGATTAACATCTGCACCAAATAAATACAGCCCTACATCAGTGAAGAACTCCTGAACTGAAGCAGCAGCCTCCAAGGCCATGTTCCTGTAGGTATTGCAAAAAAGGATACTGGTGTAATTTTCTGCTTGTTTGATGAGAGTTTCAAGGGTTTCTGTAACAGAAGCAAAGGTAAAAGATGAGAAGGCTTAGTATTCATGGGAACACTGTTTGTCCAGCTGCTCCAGACATTAACTGAGCTTAATGCATCAAAACTAATCTACGAATCTAAACTGTATTTCTCAGCCTACTAAATGAAATTCAGCTTTCCAAGGATAATGACCGGACAACAATGGCCATTGCATATAACATACAAGTTTTATAGAGTCACATTTCCTAGAATCAAAGTCTTTTTAAAAGTAACAAAATTGCTTGGCATGGTGGCTTATGGCTATGATCCCAGTACTTTGGGAGGCTGAGGTGGGTGGATCAGCTGAGGTCAAGAGTTCCAGACCAGCCTGATCAACAAGGTGAAACTCCATCTCTACTTAAAATACAAAAATTAGCTGGGCATGGTGGCAGACATCCGTAATCCCAGCTACTTGGGAGGCTGAGGCAGGAGAATCGCTTGAACCTGGGAGGTGGAGGTTGCAGTGAGTTGAGATCAAGCCCTTGCACTCCAGCCTGGGTGACAGAGCAAAACTCTATCTCAAAAAAAATAAAAATAAAAAATAATGAAATAAAAAATAAGTTACATATATGGTAGTTTATTACTTTATAGTCATTCATAACTCACTAATGACAGAAAAAAGTATCACTGAGAAATTTATTTTATAATCTGACTTCATTATTTATAAAAGATGGTCACATTAAGTACCTGATTCACCACCTGCTATATTTTTATAATTCTTTAAATCTTTTTCTTTCCTAGAATGAAAGCTAGTAGATTACACACTAGTTGTTACAACGGAAGGTTAGATTCCCAAAAGAAAACCAATCCTGAGACTTCCTCACATGTTCTAACTAAAGAGAAAGTGAAGCATTCATTTTCAGAGTATCCATAAATCATCACACTTTGTTAAGCAGTGGGAAACCCATGAGTGCTATTATTTGATGAAAATAAATTATTGTGATCACATTATTAATCATATCCTTTTTCTTAGCATATTATCTTCGAAGACTTTACTGTTATTTTGTTTCTTATTTAGATAACTGACAATCTCATATCATTTTATCCACAGAAAGAACCAAGAATAATTTGTCCACAAATTAAAGAAAATCTAAAAATAGAAAGTTTGGGTAATCAGCAAGTCAAAATGGAATATTGAAATGATGTATTAAGCAACAGCAAACACCTTGGCTACATTAGTAATTACAGTTTTTAATTAGCCTAAATAAGGATACTGAACTGTTTCGACATATAAAATATATTCAATAAAATTACCTCCCTATACTCCCAATTGTATATTCACTTTTAATTATGTTGTAAAAGATCACGCAATAACTTAGTAACCAAAATACTGTATGAGTAAATTATAAAAATAGATGGAAGAGTAGAAAAAATACAATGGGATAACAAAATGCAGAGGGGATTATGCTATTGAGTCCAAGTACAAATAAGTAAGAGTACAATATCATGAATTCTGATACTGATCTAAGTCACACTGAGTTCCTGGCTTTTGTGTGATATGTTAAGGTGCATCTACCCTACTATCAAAGTTAACAGCTTTTAAACGGGATTGCAATTCTGCTTCAACAGAGTACTGGACAGATTGTTAGGTAGAGCTCACGTGTAATCTGTGCATCCCTAGTAACTAGTTACTCAATAAAAATAGGAAACAATGAAACTAGGATGGTAATGAGAAGGCTTCTGTTGAGATTAGCAGCTCTACCAAGTCAGCCAGCATGAATGCCAGGTTTCCCCAAATGGCCTGGGCTTCAAAGGGAAAAAAAATAGAAATTGTTAGGTCTCTGCATTTGAAATTCTAACCCAGTAGGTTTGTCTTGGTTTAGGAATCTGTATTTAACAAGCAGCTCAGGTGATTCTTTTAACCTGGCCGGTTTTTGAAACATTGCGATTGCAAATATGTGTAAAATATTCTCTGTGCTCTTACAGAGCTGTTCAGCAGCATTCCACTAAGAGAACCCGACCCCAGAGCTGCAATCTCAGCCACTACACTCTGCTTTCACAGATCCACAGGACAAAGTGTGAAAACAGAATTGAATCTTTGTGGCTTGAACTACAATAAAATTGATGAGCCTGTGTATTTCTCCTTAAAATAGGTCATTTTTTCTCAACAGTTTGTGTGTGGCTATGAATTGTGAAGTAGTTTACAAATAATTGTATTTACCAATAATGGCTGCATCACAATGTTTTAAAATTATTTAATTTTTTAAAAATAAAGATAGATTCAAAGATACCCTATATCACAGGCATTCTTACATGCTTTCCAGCCAGGTTTCTAAGGTTTGTGCTATATGTGTTCATGTGACTGACAATTGCCTTATTATTCTTAGTGGGATAAAGGTTGCACATTGCTGAATCAGGCAATACTGACGTTCCATCTGATTTCTGCCAACTCTAAATGATGCTCACACATGCAATTTTTATAAAGACAAGAATAAAATATTTCTTTATAAATTTCAGCCCAATTAATTTATAACATAATGATTCAGGAAAATAGAGTTTATCTTTAAGTAGCCCTAATGAGTACATTTTACAAAGTAAATTATATTGTAAAAGCAATATTAAAGAGAATTTATTTAATATTTAGGAGTTTCCATTCAAAATGAAAATGAGTATAGCACTTTCAAACATCATTATTTCTTTTTTAAGACCACTGTGTATTATTAGCAGCAAACTAATTTTGATTACTGTTTGAGTTTGTAATTAAAAATAAATTTCTGAACAAATTATACAGTTTTTATTTTAGAGTAGTTTTCCTCTGATTTAATTTTATTCTTTAAAACAAAATAACCAAAAAGAACTTGATAGTAAGTTTAGGAATCATATTACAGTGAAATTTAAAAACTTTTCCCTAATACCACATGTATTTACACTTTAGCTTTTATAAACTGTGTATGCACTTTACTACCCTTTGAAGGAGAAATTATATGTTATCAATCTTGTGCCTTGTAATGATGTTTTGGTGAATAACTAACTGTGTGTATGACCTTGGTCCCATAAGATTATAATGGAGCTGAAAAATTCCTATAACCTAGTGACGTCATAGCCATCATAACATCACAGTTGAAAATATTACATGTTTGTGGTGATGCTGGTATGAACGAAAAGACCAGATTGCCAGTCATATAAAAACCTAGCACATACAATTATGTATACTCCATAATATCTGATAATGATAATAAACAACTTCGTTACTGGTATTTACCATACTAGGCCTTTTATTGTTATTTTGGAGTGTATGCCTTCTACTTATGTTGTGTTTAAGTTAACCATAAAGCCACCTCAGTCAGGTCGTCCAGAGGAAGACATTGTTATCAGAGGAGAGGAAGGCATTGTTATCACAGGAGATGACATTTCCATGCCTGTTATTTTCCCTGAAGCCCTTCCAGTGCGACAAGATGTGGCAGAGGAAGATGGTGATATTGACTATCCTAACCCTGTATAAGCCTAGGCTAATGTGTGTGTTTGTGTCTTACTTTTTAAGAAAAAGTTTAAACTTTTTTTTAAAAATTGCAGGGACATGGATGAAGCTGGAAATGATCATTCTCAGCAAACAAACAGAAGAACAGAAAACTCCAAATGCCACATGTTCTCACTCATAAGTGGGAGTTGAACAATGAGAACACATGGACACAGGGAGAAGAGCATCACATACCTGGGCCTGTAGCGGGGTGGGGGACTAGGGGAGGGATAGCATTAGGAGAAATACCTAATGTAGCCAATGGGTTGACAGGTGCAGCAAACCACCATGGCATGTGTACACCTATGTAACAAACCTGAACATTCTGCACATGTATCCCAGAACTTAAAGTATAATAAAAAATAATAATAAATAAATAAATAATTCAAAAAACTTTTAGGATAGGGATATAAAGAAAATATTTTTGTACAATCAGTTTGTGTTTTAAGCTAAATGTTACTACAAAAAAGTCAAAAAGTTTTTTTAAATTGAAGTTTATAAAGTAAGCTTTATAAACTACTGTAAGCTAAGGTTAATTTGTTATTGAGAAATAATTTAAAAATAAATTTAGTGCAGCCTAAGAGTGCAGTATTTGGTACAGGCTACAATAGTGTACCGTAATGTCCTAAGCCTTCACATTCACTCACCACGCACTGACTGACTTACCCACAGCAACTTCCAGTCCCGCAAGCTCCACTCATGTTACGTGCCCTATACCGATGGACGTTTTTTTTTTTTTTTTTTTTTTTTTGAGATGGAGTTTCGCTCTTGCTACCCAGGCTGGAGTGCAATGGCGCGATCTCGGCTCACTGCAACCTCCGCCTCCTGGGTTCAGGCAATTCTCCTGCCTCAGCCTCCTGAGTAGCTGGGATTACAGGCACGCGCCACCATGCCCAGCTAATTTTTTTCGTATTTTTAGTAGAGACGGGGTTTTGCTTTGTTGACCAGGATGGTCTCGATCTCTTGACCTCGTGATCCACCCGCCTTGGCCTCCCAAAGTGCTGGGATTACAGGCGTGAGCCACCGCGCCTGGCCCTCACAAAATATATTATTTAAAGCAATTTATTGCATTAGTTTTTCACCATGCTATGAGTTCACTACAATATTAAAAAATTGGGGGGGCTTTCAATATGTATTAAATCTAATATTGAAATATTCCAGTTAACTGAACTACCTAAGTATATGTAACATACATATTTTCATATATTATATTTCTTAAATCCAATCAATAAAAAACTGTAAACTATTAGTCTATACATAATTGATTCTTCAATGCTTAGGGATAAATATTCTTTGAATTTTTGTCCTAACCATTGAATAAAATTTTAGTATGTAAACATATCAAAAATGAACAATCTAGAAACCAAGCCACTGAATAATTTTGTATTAATTTTTAATAAAAATTGGTAAAATCAGAAACTGAATTTACTAAAACTACTTGTTTGTATTAACTTTGAATTTGCAAAACTATCACTTTGTTCTCACAACATGTTCACCAAGGAGTAGAGTGTTTTCATTTTATTGAATT